TTCACAAACAAGGTGTGATCTGCCTGACACTGAATATAACCATTCTTAGTGATTGATTTAGTGAATTTTCCAAACCATGCTCGCAGAGATTGCTTAAGGCCATATAGAGTTCTTCAGTCTGCATACTTTGTTTCGGTTGGATGAACTCTCAAAGCCTGGTGGAATATCCATGTACACTTCTTCTTCCAGGTCACCATTCAAGAAAGCGTTCTTCACATCTAGTTGGTGCAATGGCCAGTCTCTATTGGCAGCAATGGATAGTAGAACGCGAATGGTATTGAGCTTAGCAACCGGAGCAAAAGTCTCTTGATAATCGATCCCTTAAGACTGGGTGAATCCCTTGGCAACAAGCCGAGCTTTAAACCTCTCAATGCTACCATCCGCCTTATGTTTAATGGTGAATACCCATTTACATCCCATTGGTCTCTTTCCATATGGTAAATCCGTTATGTGCCAAGTCCCGTTCTTCACCAAAGCTTTGATTTCATCTTGTACAGCCTTTTTCCAACTCGGATCAATCAGTGCTTCTTGAATTGAGTGAGGAATCTGTACACTATCAAGAGTAGAAACAAATGCTTGATAGGATGGAGATAATATTTTATAGGACACAAAATTGCTAATCAGATATTTAGTACACGCACGAACTCCCTTTCTGAAAGCAATAGGTAGATCATCATTTATACCAGTAACACTATCATGACAAGAATTACTCATACCTGAATGTATCTATAGAGGATCTGAATTCAGTTCTAAGTCATGGCAGTCCTGTAGATGTGTTTGTTCTTTCTCAGAGTGCCTTTTTCTTTGATAGACTCGAAGTTCTTTAGGTTCTGGATGAGAATTAACAATTGGTAACGAATCAGGGGTGTTTTCAGTGGCTTGAGAAGAACTGAGGACTTGGTTTTCTATGGCATCTTGACGTTCTCCAACTGTCACAGGTTGTGTCACAGGTTGTGGACTGGTGAGTTCAAGAATAGGTGCAGTATGTGAAATTTCGAAAAGGTGAGATTCACTTCCATTCTCCCCCTGAATCTCGGATTTGCAGTAAGCTTGTGATTCGAAAAAAGTGACATCCATAGAGTTATAAGTTTTTCGTGTAGTAGGACAATAACACTTATAACCCTTTTGATTAGATGAATAACCTATGAAGATGCATTTAATAGATTTAGGATCTAACTTACTACGATTTTGTGGATAAAGATGGACAAAAACAGTGCAACCAAAGACCTTAGGATCAACAAAGCTAATGAACCTTGTATGAGGGAATATTTCCAGAAGAGTTTGACAGAGTGTTTGAAATTTCAACACTTTAGATGGCATCCGATTAATGAGATAGGCAGCGGTGAGAACTGCATCCCCCCAAAAAATTTAGGAACGTGAGACCCAAACATTAGGGATCGAGCAACTTCAAGAAGATGTTAATTTTTCCTTCAGCAATTCTGTTTTGCTGAGGGGTGCCAACACAAGAACTTAAATGGATGATGCCGTGTTTTATCAAATAAGTACCAAGAGCAGAATTAATAAATTCTTTGGCATTGTCAGTTTTGAGTACTTGAATCGTAGTATGAAACTGAGTTTGAATCATAGAATGAAAGCGCTGAAAAATTCCACTCACTTCTGACTTATTTTGCATAAGAAAAACCCAAGTTAATCTTGTGTGATCATCTATAAAAGATACAAACCATCTTTTTCCTATTATAGTATTTATGCGTGAAGGTCCCCACACATCACTATGAATCAATGAAAAAGGTTTTGATGGTTTATATGTTAATCTAGAATAACTAGTCCGAGTGTGTTTAGCAAACTGACAAGTTTCACAACAAAAGAACTTGGATCCTTATTTAGAAATAAGGAAGGAAACATTTTTGATAAATACACAAAATTTGGATGACCAAGACGATAATGCCATAACATGATAGCACTATCCTTATTAGACAAAGAAACTGACTGACTATTCAAAGAAAGCAAACTGAACTTTTGGTTTGTTTTGGTGGGTGAAGCTTCATCACGTAGAACATATAGTCTGGAACACATCTTAGCACTGCCAATCCTCTTCCTTGAGTTCAAATCCTGAAATACACAAAGATTTGAGAAAAATTTTGTCACACAGTGATGTTCACTAGTAAATTTACTAATTCAAAGTAAATTACAGTCTAATTTGGGCACATAGATCGAGCACAAATTTGAGAGTGAGGTCCTTAGTTATTCTGACTGAACTGAAACCCTCAACTTGAGAAAGTGAGCCATCTGCTATTTTGACTGTATGATTTCCTTTCTTCGGGTGAAACTCACAGAAAATTGATGCATCTCCTGTCATGTGATCTGAAGCTCCGGAGTCTAGAATCCATGATTTGTTAGTGCTTCTATTGACAGAACAAGCAACTGATTTATTACCTCTCACAGCCAACATAGTGACATACTAGTATCATGCGTAGAGGTTGGATGAATGGAGGAATGATTCAGAAGTTTCTGAAGGGCTTCAAGTTGAAAGAATTCGTGTCCATTGAATTTGCAGTTGGTAACGAGAGAGACAGCTTCATTTATTTGAGAAGAGGCAAAAAGAATTGATGAGGGTGTTTTAGAGGTTGTGTCTGAGATGAAGCTGTTGTTTTCGTGAGCCATGATAGACATAAGAGATGGGCACGACCAAAAGAGGAGTACAGAAACCCTAGGATAGCTAGAGCTCTGATACCATGTGAAATTATGAATATTAGTGATATCTATTACAATCTCAGAATGATGGGATATTTATACAACCTATTGAGGAGAGAATCTAAGGCATTAAATATACAATCTGCTAATCTAAATAATAGAATATCCTATTTCTAGAAAGAATAAAATACATGATACTGGTAATTAATACAAAATCAGATCTTAAGTACAACAGTAGTTATTCTCCAAATCAGGAAATAAATCCACAGGATTGTCTCATACATTTAATGTGCACATACAAAATAATATTGAGAATGTCATTCTCAGGGCAAGGAGACAACTCAAAGTGATTGAGGTGTTAAACTCACCATACATGTAACGAGAAATAGATCCTTTTGAAATGTGTAACTCTTTTGAGAAATGTAACATTTGTCAATAGAGCTACACATTTCAAATATATAATGACATGAATCTGTGTAAGGTAATATGGAATGAACAACATAATTTGCATATATAATTATTGAGTGTTTTTGTTTAGTAATGAAATGAATTTTCAATATAAAGATTTGTTAGTACAAAAAACAGTATGATGTCATTAGATGAATATTTGTATATGAGGCTATTTATTTTGTGTGCAAAATAAATAATCTAAATTTGGTAAAATAATCAATTTGATATATCATTGGATTATACCGTCAATAAACAATTTCATTTATGAACATAAATCTATTTCATATCTGTTTTAAAAAATTTAACTGAATGGACGTCTTAACAGACTTCTTAGTGGAAAGAACTATTGTATTTATTAAAATTTAATGATTACGTTAATTTTTAAGGGAATGAATTAGTTGTGTTTTCAATTAAGTTATATATAAAGTAGACTTGATGGTTTAACAATAAAGTCGCTATTGTCATTAAATTTACTAGATTTTTCACTGTGGGTTGCACAAGATGAATTTCATAAATATGGTTTTCTTTTGAACCCTATAAAAACATATTGATAATAGTATTCATACATGGTAACTATGATGATTGCATATAATGACAAAAAATAGAAAATGGTGTACCATGTAGAAGTACCACATACATCCTAATATATATTACATCTGCCCCGTTTAAAGTTTTGATTGCAAAATGACATAATTATTTAGACAATGATTAAATAAGGTATATTTAGTATATTTTGAGAAATAGTTTGGAAGGGTATATAATATAATGAGTCCATTGATGATAATTGTGATGTTAAAACGTATTATTTATAATATTTAAAAACTTAATTGTAATCTAAGAGTGTTAATTGTTTTCTAAAATAAAAGGGAAAAATTGATGGTAATAATCTCAACTATTGACGGTCCGCTCATAATAGTCTCAACTATCCATTATTTCAGAATAATCCCAACTTTAGGTACCTTCCGCCAATAATGGTCCGATGTGACCGGCTATAAATAAATTCTGAAGTGGATGAGAAGAGATATAGCAAGTAATCCCTATAAATAATCCCAAATTTGATTTTTACGCTTAATTTCTATTTAAAATTCACTTGTTATCGGAGGTAATATCTAGTCATGGACCATTATTGGCGGATGGTCTATATAGTTGGGATTATACAAAAATAATCAATAGTTGAGATTATTGTTAGCGGACCGGCAATAGTTGGGATTATTATTTTCAATTTTTCCAAATAAAAATGAGAATCTTTATATGGACGTTTAAAAAAGGAAAGTGGGAACCTTAGACAACAAATAGGAAAAGACCCATTCAAAATAATGTTATTGTGTAGTTTTGAATTTTAAAGATTTCATATTTGCACAAAGAAATAATATTAAAAATTGAATACTTTAAAGGGTAGTTGTAAATAATAATTTACCACTCGGATTATTAAGTAATAACTTATCAATGAATCTTAATTCACAATATTTATGTATGTTTTTCAAGGATCAAAATATAATCACTAATCATCAAGTCGCAAATGAAAAGTTCTAAATGATGTTTTACTTTATTAATTTTAACAAAAAAATATATTAGAGAAAATCCACGAAATAGGAGTAACAATAATGTAAAATTTCAAATTAGGAGGTCTATGGTTTTTTTCATAAATAGAAGTTCACGACTGCCATGTTGAAAATTTGTTGCCGCATTTTGACATTATCAGACTTTAATTATTCCAATTTAGGGAACAAAAAGATATTGCTCCTAATTCATACTTTGGAATTTCAAAACGTTTTTATTCCTGCATAGGACATGTCCTTTAATAATATTTGTAAATATTGATCATATAATAATTCATTTCACTTTTTATTTAAATAATTACATAGTAATAAAATGTATAAAAGGTTTACATTGTCCATCTCCGCGTAAGGTACAAAAATGAATATGCGTTAAAAGAATCATTATAAAATAATACATCTATTTAACTTTTCACACACAAAAAATCACTCCAAAATATAATAATTACTAATTATACGATGGGCATGTATATGAATATGACATAGCCACCTACCTACGTATGTGGGTATAACATATATAGTATTTATGTTCACTACAAATCAGATAACTTTTATTTCTAGATCCACGAGTGAACATATCCTATTATGCTCAACTCATTTAGAATTTAGCTCTTGATCGACACTCCGCCAATATCACTTAAACATGAAATTAAGTTTAACCTTTTCAAGAGATGAAACAACATCCTTTATACTCATCCTTTCTTTTGGAGATTCTGCACAACATCTTACACCCAATTTAAGTATTAATGTCAAACACTCAGTTTTCTTACTCTGCTTATCTTCATTTGGTCCAAAAAGATTCGAGTCGGAAACTTCAATTACTCCATTTGGTGAACATAAAGCATCATTAACCCAACTAATCAAGCTTCTATCTTCAGAGAACATCACATCATTTGGCCTTCTTTTTGTGAATGTTTCAATTAACATGATTCCGTAACTATAAACATCACAACTTGTTGAAATCAAGCCTCCCATCCCGTACTCTACAAAGCAAGCATAACAAGTCTAATGAGCTTTTGTCTTTTGGTTTTATACAACAATATATTGGTACAATATTTTATATTTAGTTGATGTGGGATAAATACTTCAACTATAGATCAGAACTTATCTATGAAATCAAATAATTAGCTGAAGTAAAAAAGAATGACCAATTAACTTACCTGGTGCTATGTAGCCCAATGTAGCAAAAGTAGTTGTAAATGCAACACTATCGTGATTGCACAACAATTTGGCTATGCCGAAATCAGCAACATGACCAACCATTTCTTCATCTAAGAGCACATTACTTGGTTTTAGATCACAATGAGCAACTGGCATTTGACACCCATGATGCAGATACTCGAGGGCATATGCCACATCAATCATAATATTTAGTCTAAGAATCAAGTCAAGGAAACAGTTTGCACCGTATAACCATTGCTCTAGGCTCCCTTTAGGCATGTATTCTAAGACCATAGCTTTAAATTCTGAGTTTGAACAACAACTCAGGACCTTCGTGAGATTTCGGTGGCGAAGGTTACGTAGTATTTTGCACTCCCTCTCAAAGCTCTTTAGAGGCCATTCTTTTTTCAATTTGAATACCTTAATGACGACATTAATCCCATCAATGTATGTTCCCTTATAAACAACTGCAGAGGCCCCCTCACCGATGATGTTAGAGTGATTAAACCCATCAGTTGTTCGCAAGAGTTCATTGTATGAGACTCTCTCCAAAGAGTATAATGGCAATAACCCATGTTCTTCACCCTCTTCTTTAGTCTTACCTTTTCTCTGTAAAAACACTAGTATGATTAGTCCTGCCACAAAAAAAATTACAGTTATTGTTGAGATTCCGATTGCCAACATTACTTTGTGATTCAACCTTTTCCTCTTTCGTTGTCCATAGTTTACTTGGCAAGGCGGGACATCAAACTTGGGATCATCTCCACACAATGCTTCATTATTATTGAAGAGAAACGATTGGTTTGTGAAGTTCTTGAAAGGGCCATTAGATGGAATTTCACCAGATAAGGAATTGAAAGAGACGTCTAAAATGGAAAGATAAGTAAGCTTCTCGAATGAAATGGGAATAACGCCGCTAAGTTTGTTGCGAGACAAGTCTAGTGTCACTAAACTCAACATGCCACCAATTGACAATGGTATGTGACCTTCGAAATTGTTGTGTGCCAACGAAAGATTGATAAGATTCACTAAGCCACTAATGGAGTCGGGGATACCACCCCAGAACCGATTTTCGGACAAATCCATGACAATAGCTGCCTTCAAGTTCCCGACTTCCGTGGATAAACTACCACTAAAGGAATTGGAGTACAAGTTTAGGTGCAAAATATTTTTAAGATTCCAAAGAGTTGATGGTAGAGTGGAGTTAAGGCGATTACCACCAAGGTGAAGTATTATTAGCGATGTAAGATTCCCAATACAACTCGGTATCGGACCATAAAGTTGATTCTCAAACAAGTAAATTGTTCCCAAGTTTGGTAGATCACAAAGGCTACTAGACAATGGTCCTGAAAATCTATTAACACTCAAATCCATCTGTTGGAGCTCCTTTAGCCCACGAACTGTGACTGGAATGGATCCTGTCATATCATTCCCGAATATACTTAACACTGAAAGACCGCTCAAATTCCCTATCTCAAGCGGGATAGTTCCGTAAATCCCGCAATTGTAAGCGTGGAAGTTTTGAAAGGAAGAAGAAAAGTTGCCCACTGACTTGGGAAGAATGCCATGGAATGGATTGTCATAGACTTCCAAAGATTTCAAGTGTTTGCATTTTGTCAAGGGTGTGATGAAGCTCAACTCTTGAGACTCTGAGTTCCTATTTGTCAAGTTGTTCCCACCAACATCTAAGGCCTCAAGGACCTTAAGCTCCCCGAGAGAGTCTGGAATTGAACCACTTAAATGATTATCCCATAGGCTCAGGAGTGCAAGTTTCGTGGCATTTGAAATTGAGGGTGGTATAGAACCACTCAAATCATTTTGAGCAAGAATGAGCTTCTCAAGATTTGGCAACACAAAAGCTGAACTTGGAGCTAAATTTCCAGATAGGTGATTACTGCCCAAGTTAACTAATTTAAGCGTTGAAATGTTGAAAAATCCATCTGGTATGGGACCGCTTAGATCAGTATCTTTTAGATCCACCACCTCTAGTTGTGTGAGCTTTGTCATCTCTTGAGGTATGAAACCTGCCAATCAAAAGATGCACTACATATATAACAGAGCTTTCACAATTAACACCACTAAGAGTATTTTTTAACATAAGTATGTACTACATCCACCCCGTTGAAATGTTCTCATGGCAAAACGACACAATTATTTAAATAATAATTAAATAGGGTAATTCGAGTATAATTTTAGTCTTTTAGATATAATTTTAAAAGATATATAATGTACACTACAAAAAAACATGGACTTTGTCACTGATTTTGTCACGGATCCGAGTTCAAAAAATCCGTGACAAAAAATTAATTAACAAACTAACTTTTGAATCATAATTAATTAACATTTACGAACATTAATATATTACATTTCACTAAAGTTCACTAGCTCATTTAACGGTATTACCTAATAATATTATCAATTCAAACTCATTTCAATTAACTAATAATTCACACTAAAGTAATGCTTCGATCAATCCTAACTTAAATCACTATATATAAATCCTAAATTAGGCATTAAAAGTAATTGCTAATATAATAAACAAACCTAATAACTAGTCAAAAAAACCAAACCTAATAATTTTGTAATCCATTTTCAATTAACGTATATTTAAATTTAACTAAATTACGTTAGTTTATGGTTAAATACATTGTTAATAAATTAACAACCTCACTAATTTCAAAATTTTAATTATTTAAAATGAAAAAATTAATAGTTAATAAAAGTATCAATTCAAATCCTAAATTAACGGTATTACCTAAAAATATTATCAATTCAAACTCATTTCAATTAACTAATAATTCACACTAAACTAATGCTTCAATCCAAACTTAAATCACTATATATAAATCTTAAATTAGGCATTAAAAGTAATTGCTAATATAATAAACAAACCTAATAACTAGTCAAAAAACCAAACCTAATAATTTTGTAATCCATTTTCAATTAACGTATATTTAAATTTAACTAAATAATTAACAACCTCACTAATTTCAAAATTTTAATTATTTAAAATGAAAAATTTAAATAAAATTATCAATTCAAATCCTAGATTAACGGTATTACCTAATAATATTAGCAATTCAAACTCATTTCAATTAACTAATAATTCACACTAAACTAATGCTTCAATCCAAACTTAAATCACTATATATAAATCCTAAATAAGGCATTAAAAGTAATTGCTAATATAATAAACAAACCTAATAACTAGTCAAAAAAACCAAACCTAATAATTTTGTAATCCATTTTCAATTAACGTATATTTAAATTTAACTAAATTACATTTATGGTTAAACACATTCTTAATAAATTAACAACCTCACTAATTTCAAAATTTTAATTATTTAAAATGAAAAAATTAATACATCATAAAAAAATACATAATTCAAATGACATACCTTATTTGCATAAACAGGGAAAATGATAAACTGATAAATTACATCCTTCAATCATTCAATAGATATTGTATTATACTGTGATGAAATTCAAAGCGATGTATCTCGAATGAAACCATGTTGTGGTATATGTAGATTTTTTTGTCACGGATTTTGTCACGGAAATATCCGTGACAAAAACTTTTTCGTACAAAATTAATTAGATGACCGATGGAAGATCAATTATTGGGGTTTGTCACGGAACTTGTCACGGATATATGCATCCGTGACAAATAATTTTTGAATTTTGTCACGAATTTGTCACGGATCCATCCGTGATAAAGTGCCCAGACGTAATAAATTTTGGCCGGAGTAAATTACCGGTCACCGAAGGTCGTTTGTCACGGATTTTTGTCACGGAATCCGTCTGTGACTACTTTGTCACGGATTTTGTCACGGAAATATCCGTGACAACAGTTTCCGTGACAATACCGTGACAAAGACCATGACAACTTTGTCACAGACAGAATCCGTGACAAAAATCCGTGACAAACGGGCTGTTTTTTTGTAGTGGTAATGGGGTTATTGTTGATAACTGTGATGTTATAAATGTATTATTTTTAATATTTAATGATTAAATTATCATTTAAAATTATTAATTATTTCCTAAAATAGAAATGAGAACCTTTTTATGGGACGTCCAAAAAAAGAAAATGAGAATCTTTATACGGGACGAAAGGAGTAATTCTTACTAAGTACCCCCTCCGTACCTTATAACTTTGTCATCTTTCTTTTTTTGGATGTCTCAAAAACTTTTGTCACTTTCCCTTTTAATCAATGAATTCGTGGTTTCAGTTAATTCTCTCTCCCTTGTACAAACCTCAACCACACAGTTTTTACTTTATTAATCCCCGTATTGGTCAAACTTGGCAAAGTTATAAGGGACGGAAGGAGTATATATTATCGATGCACAAATTATAAAACATCATCCATCAATAGATCAATACTCCGATCCTATTTAATTTTCATAACAACGACATAAAGTTTATCTGATCTAATTTTAATTTTTATAGAAAAACAATTTTTTTATAGTAATTGCTGATGTACTAAATTAGTACTCCCTAACATTATTTAGGTAAGAATTCTAACTTTTAGTCCATCTTTTGTTTTCATTTCTTTCTTATCTCAAGTTTAAATAAAACTTGCAAAAAAATGTGTGTAACGTAGCTTCTAAAATACAACTCCACGGATATGAATTTCAGACACAAGTAGAAAGAAGTGTCACGCACAACCATATATACAGAAAGAACTAAGTGTTTTCTTATTTAGAAATTTGGTTTAGTAAACAAGCATGCGTGCTTATATTGTTGGAAAAATGTGTTAAAAATTGCATTAAATGGTCATTTGGGGCAATTATTTGAGTGTGCGCGGGCGACCTGCGGACATGAATGTCGTCCGAAAACCTATCATTCAAAGATACGGGTGGAGTTCTGTCCGGAACAGAAACCCTCGAGGTCTTCTGTTCGCAACAGAGACGCTCGAGGTCTTCTGTTCGCAACAGAGACCCTCGAGGCCTTCTGTTCGCAACAGAAGGTCTTCTGGTCCGTTACAACAATTAATGCCCAACGTTCTTGTCTTTTAATGCAGCGTGAAATGGACAGTTTATGGACGATTCAATGCCCAACGGACTGGTCATTGATGTCCAACGTTCAGGTCCATTAACACCCCATTTAACACACAACAAATCCTCCTATAAATAGCTGGCAGGTGGTTTGCAACAACATAACGCACAATACATTCCTCACGTATTCTTGAGCTAAAAACACCTACACCTACTCTGAAAAATTCCTTCTGTGTTCTTACGTAGTTCTCGTTCGCTGGAACTCTTGTTTGTGTGCTCAAACACTAGTTCGTAGTCATCGTATCCTGGGAAACGATTGTTGCAACGCTCCTAGCACTGTGGGAGGCAACAAATACGTTTTAAGGACATCGTGCGTAGCACGAGCTTTGACTAATTCTGTTTCATCTCCTTTCTTGTTTTTCTCTAGTCATTTTATTTAATTAATTTATTTTAATTAATTTTCTTTATTTTTCGAAACACACCCAACATATGTTACGTTATCACTTATCAACATCTATGTAGAAGTGTACAACCACGTTCATTCATGGAGTATTAAACTAGTCAATCAACTAGTGTTTTGCAGGGACGATAAATTAAATTGAATTGGTTTGAAAACAATTTGTAAAACAAATTTGTCATGTGTATAAAACAATTGTTTATGTAAAACAATTGAATTGGTTTATAAAACAATTTGTAATGTGTATGCAATTGTTTTGAAAACTTGGATACATCATACGGTATAAGATTACATTAGAAGCTTATATCCAGTAATTGTAAGAGATAAACTAATTAATGATGAGTATAGAATTACAAATGAACATTTTTGGTCATTGATTCATTTCTCATGATGAAGAGGTACTAATGGTACTCTCTCTGTCGTGCTATTTTTGCCCCATATTCAATTTCCTTTTCGATTCATTCCACTAAGAGGATACTAATCAGTTCTAAATCATTTTTACTCTATTCTTACTTTATCAATTTAAATATTCAATATCAATCACATAAAATCTCTATTTTGAATAATCTCACACTTCTCATTTCTCAATGTTAGTGAGACGGAGGTGGTATCTCCTTGACATTTGTACCATCTAATGGTAATTATGATGGTTATTCTACACATGAATCAATGCAAAATTAATACCTAGTACATCTCTAGCATGGAGTTTTTTTTACAAGAGATATGAAGTTTGTTAAATATCAAACATATGTATTTTATGTTTTAATAGCATATACTCCTTCCGTCCCAATATTATCTTCACTATTTCCTTTCTCGTCCGTCCCAATATAAATTTCTTTTAAAGAATTATCCTAAATATGACTAAAACTCATACAGTTTCTCAATATATGACCTTATTAGTTTTTCCCCCAAAATAAAACTTAAATTCATAATATTTATTAAATTAATAAATAAATAATTAAATAAATAATTATTATGGACAAATATGCCCATAATTGTTATTATAAAATCCTAACCTCCTACTCAATTTCTCAAAAACCTAGCCACCCGCCAATGCCACGGCATCACCCGCCCCCATCGCCACAACACCACCCGCCCTTGTCATCACCGCAGCATCCGCCGCGCGCCACCACAGTATCCGTTGCCCCGTCGCTGCGGCATCCGCCTCCCGTCACCGCGGCATCCGCCAGCCCGTCGCCACGGCATCTGCTAGCCTATCACAGCGGCACCCACCGCCACCATCGCACGACACTTGCTCCACCGTCGTCGTGACCGTCTGCATGCTTGCGCCTACCTGCGACCACCGCCGTCTCCATTCTGTGGCCGTCACCGTGCCACAACGCTTAGATGAAGTCAATGTTTAGTGTTGAGATGTATAAAAATCTTAGATGAACCTTTACATGTTTTTATTAATTTTTTGATTTGGGATATGTTAAGGCCTCAATGTCATTTTTTTATAATATTGTGTTGAGTAATACTCCGTATATATTTTTAAAAAAACGAGTAATGCATGAGTTAAAATAATAGTTATGGACTTAAATAAATGTATATACAAAGTATATTAAATACACGTAGAGGGGATATGTATCACAAGAGAATCGTAGTCTCGCGGTCCGTACCTAAATTTCTAATTGCATGGTCATGGGTTCAATTTCTAGCATGCTCAACTTTTTTACTTATTAAAACCTTAATATGTCTCGAGTACTATTTTTTAACTAAATACAAGTATATAAAAGTTATTAATGTTGATATTAATTAGCTTCCAAAAAAATGTTGATATTAATTAAGTAGCACTACGTAGTGTTTAATTAAAAACCATGTCTGAAAAAATAAAAATTTTAATTTTCTCATAAAAGGTATGAAAAGATGGATTTGTAAATTTTCTGGGACAGTTCAAGAATAAATTTTAAACTAGTTTTATAAATACTTTATACATTACTACGTATTATACTCCTAGTGCCAACAAATCATGGCACACCAAATAATAATAATAATAACACATAATGAAATATTAGTATGTATAAACAATAATAATAAGGATAATAACGAAATATCGACACAACAAACCATGAAGGTCAAACTAAAACTTAATTTCAAGATTGAAAGAGTATGTGAACACTTAACGAAATAAACCATAAAAATACATACCTGTGAATTTATTGCCATGGAGTGCCAACACCTTGAGAAATGTTAAGTTTCCAAACCATGTAGGTATGGCCCCATTGAGTTGGTTATTTTGCAATACAATTTTTTGTAGGGATGATGACATGTTTCTAATGGAGTGGGGTAGTGGCCCTTCAATGTGGTTGTGAGCTGCTTGGAAAATCCTCAAATTGACAAGGTTACCAATTTCCTTTGGAACTTCCCCTGTGAATTGGGTGGGTGGTCTGAGTCAATGCCAAGTGTTTATGTGATTTAAAAGAAAAAAGAAAAATGGGACAAATTTTAAAGTTTGCTTGCTCCAACAAGCCACTATTTCAAGGGACAAATTAAGTCACCCTACATACCAATGAGTTATGAACATATTAGTTTAGGGAGTTATGAACATATTAGTTTAGGGTCAACCTTCTAAAGTGAAAATCAAAGTCTTAATAATTTCATTTGTCTCATGTGTGCGTGACTACAGATTATAAATTCAGGTTTTGAAACACTAAATTTGAATAAATAATGCACATATATAAATAAAACTAGCAGTGAATCAAAATTTCTACAAAATAAGTAATGACATCAACTACTAAGGTGAATATGATATTTTTTTCCTCTGTGACATGATGCACAATGTGACAAGAATTTGTACCTAAGTATTTAAAGCAAGAGAAGATTATTGTTCATCCATATTGTAGCAGCTCATGAACCACCTTCGTGCCAGAAAGAGATTCGTGAAAGGGATTTAATTCGGAATTATTTTTGCTTTAGTAATACTTGTTTTTATTATAGGTCGAGCAGGTATGGTTGGAATATTTAGATGGTGATCTTTTGTTAGGTAGTGCTCCATTTCTGGCCGATTTAGGTTTAAAATTACCCGTTTTGTGCCTAACGAGTCAGGTTGCTTTGTATTGTGTGACTGACATTATGTTTATTCATAAGGCTTACGATCAGATCTGTAAGAGCTGTCTGGAGATTGTCTTTGCTTGCATTTTTTCTCTATATTAATATAATCTGCTTTTATCATAAAAAATGAATTGTATTAAGGCCGCTGTTTAGGGAATTTTAAAGTTATACTCCTATTCTTGCAATTGAAGTTTTATTTAGTTCTATTTGGAGAATTTTCCCTTTAACTTAAAAGATACTCCTATTTTGTTTGACACAACTAGCTGAAAGGATACCTTTATAAACTTTTTAGTAACTGTTAGCTTTTGGTGACTAAAAAGATCTTAAAAGTGAAAGGTGTTAGTTGTTCGAAAAAAAGTTGACTGTTTGATTTAGTTATGTTTGATATACAAGATGTTGGGACTAATTAATTAATACTAAAAGCTACCGACTTTTCTCAGATGCTACTCAGTGTAGCCTCTCAATGAATATCTTTTATTTTTTAAGAGCTCTTAAAATTGTAATGTCATACATACACTAGAAGCTTTTAAAGACTTTTTAAAAGGTATTTCGACATTAACAGGTGGTTCTAGCTGAAAAGGTATTTTTATGAACTTTTTAGTAACTATTAGCTTATAGCTACTGAAAGATCTTTTAAAAAAGGTGGTAACTTTTTTATAAAAAGTTGACTGTTTGATTTAGTTCTGTTTTATATACAAGCTATTGAGACTAATTAAGGGTAAAAGTTATAGACTTTATGAGATGCTACTCATTGTAGTTTTTCAAAAAAGATCTTTTGTTATGAAAGAAGCAGTTAAAAATTGTCATGCAAATACAAATAAGAGCTTTTATTGACCTTTTAAATAGTACAAAAACTTCTATTCATAGGATTTACAATCAAATCTGTTTCTCTATATCAATATAAGCCGATCTTAGAAAAATGTATTGTATTAGAACAAAGTAAGGGTATGATTGAAAAGATAGTCCTATTTATGGAAATTAAAGTTATAATCTCATTCTTGGAGTTCTTATACCGTACGACCGTCCCAGCATGAGCACCGTACACCCACTCCCAAAACTTTTTTTAAAAATGGTAATAACTTTTTAATTTTTGATCCGATTTTTATAAAATTTATATCAACATTTTTTATTTTTCATGATCTTTCAAATGAGACCAATATTGCCTATGTAATTTTAACATATTGTCGAACTATTATATTAACCTATGTAAAATATGTAATTTTACGTGTAAAAATATGTAACTCACGTCTAGTCAGGCCAAATGCAACTCGTGTGTATAAATATGTAACTCTATGTGTAAAAATATGTAACTTTACGTGTAAAAATATGTAACTCGCGTTCAGACAGGTCAAATGTAACTCGTGTGTATAAATATGTAACTCGCGTGTATAAATATGTAACTTGCTTATAAAAAGATGTAACTCGCTCATAAAAAGATGTAACTCAATGTAACAGAGGTCACTGATCCACTCCCAAACAGATTCGATCTTCTATTTCACAAACCTATCATCTCCCTGCAATTCATATGCAACTCGTGTGTATATATATGTAACTTGCGTGTAGAAATATGTAACTTTACGTGTAAAAATATGTAACTTCACGTATAAAAATATGTAACTCACATTGATAAATACATAATACAATAAATTTTTTATATACACAATTTTAAGATAAATTGTGATTTACACAATTATTTTTCTAAATTAAATTTAGTTCGATTTTCCTTATAATCCAATACCATTAGTATAATAGTTCGATAAGTTTTTAAAATTACATAAGCAATATTGGTCTCATTTGAAAGATCATGAAAAATAAATAATGTTGATATAAATTTTATAAAAATCGGATCAAAAATAAAAAAGGTATTATCATTTTTTAACAAACAAAAGCAAAAAAAAGAAAGAAAAGAAACAAACAATCCTACGTCGTTTTGCAACCGGGTGCACCATTCTCATGGTGCCCCGGTTGCACGGTATAATTTGCCCATTCTTGCAATTGAGATTTGATTTTCTACTTGGGAAACTTCCCCTTTTAAACAATTAGAGAAAAATGTTTTCTAGATATACCTTAAATGAATCACGAAAGTAATTAGGTGGTAAGAATAGATAGGGGGCTAATAATTTATTTAACTTTTTCTCTCCAACAATCCTCAGTTTAGAGGGACTCAAAAAAGTTGGCACACAGAGATTTTCGAGAGGTAGTTAGAAACACACTAATGTTAAAGAAGAAGGTCATAAACCTTCTCCCTCCCCAAAAACGCCTTAGATTTTTGTTGGATATGTTAAAATGAACTAATGTAGCCCGTGGCGGAGTAGAAAAACGGCTGAGAGGGTCGAAACTCAACATATATACAGAATGAAAATGGTAGATCGTTTTTAAATAATGTTCGAGTTGAATACTTCATATGCAGTTTAGATAAATAGACACTCGTAGCAATAAGACAGATTGTCTTTGCTCTGTTTCTGAGTCGTGTCACGTAAGTATTGAGTGAATTATACCTTATTTTTAAAATTTGGGAAAATAATCTGTAATATATGCATCAAATTTTGCTAATTTTACGTTTAGATAGTATTGATTTTCCAGAAGTCATAACTTTTTACTCGTAATGAGTTACGAGGGTCATAATATATCAAATCGAAGATATTTCAGAACTCTATACTCTCGAACTTTCAGCGGAGTCAACTGACCACCCTGACCCCCATTGGCTAGTTGGCTCCGCCCCTGAATGTACCAAAATGATAATAAAACCAAATATTGATGAGAACTAAATCATAGATTATTGGATTAGTTAAACATATAAACCTGATAGATTATTCTTGTCAAGAATTAGGGTGTCCAGCTTTTGGAGCCTTTCAATCTCTTTAGGTATGGACCCCACAAAGTTGTTTTGGTAAAGGTACACCCTTATGAGTTGCGTGCAATCTGAACCGTTGGATAATGGGATCGGTCCATGAAACTCATTGCTCGATAAGTCAAGACTTCTCAGTCTCCGTAGTCCACGGCACATCTCCGCCCCTTGAATTATGCCTTTCAACCCATTCTTTGATAGGTCCAAAACTTCCAGACCGGAAATATTAAAGAGAGCTTCTTGGGGAACCAAACCGGTGAAATTGTTACCGGCGAGACTCAAAACTTGGAGTTTAGGGAACAAAGAAAGCCACGAAGGAATCTCTCCGGCGAACTGGTTTGACCCAAGGTCCAACACCCGAAGCCGCCGCAAGTTAGCCATCCCTTCCGGCAGGTGGCCGGTGAAACGGTTGTGGGTCAAATCAAGAACGGAGAGAAATGTGAGGTTTCCTAGTTGCGGCGGGAGTAGGCCGGAAAGATCCATGTCAGCAAGATTTAAGGCCACAACTCTAAGGCTGTTTTGTCGTCGCGGATAGTCACATTTTACTCCAACCCAGCCGCAAACAGAGGATTTCGCCGTCCAGTTTCCGGCCAAGATCCGGTGAGGGTCGGAGGTGATGGTGGCTTTCAAGAAAAGAAGAGAAGATTGGTCGGTTGTAATGTTGGTAGGATTTGGCATGGCTAGGATCAAACATTGATGCAAGTAAAGAAGTGATATGATAGTGATTCTAGCCATGGAAATGTCTAGCTACCTTGGGTAAAGAAAATATGACCAGCTTTTTTATATGATTCTTAAAACTTCTTATGCCCTTTCGGAGAGCACAAGTGGAAACCGAAATGTTTGGATGAAAGTGCAAAAGTGATTTTGACACTTTAATTTACTTCTAGAATCAGTTTTTTTAGAAGCTGAGGATGACCATCTTCTTGAAACTGATTCTGATTCTGCTTCTGCTTTAAAAAAGAACAGAAGCAGAATCAGTTCCAAACACCACATAATGGAATAGATTACCAAAATGAGTCTTCATATATATATTTGATATATTTATATACTCTTTTAAATATATTTACTACTAAAATTCATTGATAAATAGAAGAATTGTGGTTGAGTAAGAAAAATGTAAATGAATGTTAGTCACACAAAACTTTCTAAAACGAAAAATGAGAAAAATTCTTTGCATATCTCAAATTGATGTGGAAGAATTTTGTGGGATGGTAGTACTATATAATAGTCTATCCATATATCACGTTAGACATCAACTTGACAGGAATATCATTCTTAAATTAATTAGATGATCTTGACTCTCTATTATTTTAAAATCATCACATAATTAATTAGTGCCGCTTGAAATATTCTATTAAAATCATACTTGCTCTCTTTGATTTAAATATTTCCTTTTCGTTCACATGGCTTTTTTGCTTATGATTGCCTTTTCCTTTTTCTTTGATATTTAGCTTTACTTTTTCTCATTCATCTTCTTCATTTCTTGGTCGTGTTTATTCTAAACAGTTTATCTATCCTTTAGAACATGTTTTTCTTCCTTCCTTTTCTTTTGGTTTCTGCTATTCCGGAATTGTCTAACGTAGAGTGGAATGGTAAGCCTAATTATTCTTTACCTTTACTGTTATTTTCCAGATAAACTTTGATTTGTAGAAAATTTGTGCTATTTTCTTCAATTCAGATACCTTTACTGTCATTGTGTGATTTTTGTACTTTAAAGATAGTTTAATGGTAGTCTCTCAACCTACTTTGGTTCTTATGATTTCAACAAGTCAAAAGTGGCTTTGAGTTTTTCAAATACTCAAATGTGTTCTGCTTTATTTAATTTTGATGGAATACATACGGTTTGAATTGTTCACTTTATTGAGTATTTTATCTCAATTTGATATAACAGGAAATGTGATAATCATTGCTTGTGTACATATATTTAAGTAAAAGTACATATGCTTGTACATAAAATCTATTTTAAATACATCTTCCGACAATTATCTCAATACAATCAGATTTTAATGTAGAAACAATTAAATGCATTTGACTGAATCCATCTTTCTCTTTTGTTCTAAGTTTTATTTTGTTACAATTTAAACCAACATGGGCACACCTTTACTATTTCTATGCCAATAGTGCATGTAATATACCTAGTGTTTTCACGCATACATCATGCTTGATAAAATGCTTAGATAGTCATAGAGAGCATTGGATTATAATGTAGTAACTATTAGAAGTATAATCACATTTAAACAACTAGATCGATAACAAAGCATGAGATTAATTAAACCATGCACTTTAGTTTCTAAAACTTTAATGTGTGAAGCATATATTAAATAATGGCATATTAATTAACTTTAGTTTTCTTGGGCTTGCACTAGGCCCTTGGCAAGGGCTGTGTGTGCAATGGCATAGGACCCATAAATATTGAAGGCCCAAAATTTTAAAAATTCAGCAGTAGTATTACCTAGTGCAAGCCCAAGAAAATTAAAGAAAATTAGAAGCATCTGATTTCCAACGCATCTGTTCAATCAACCATTATCTATTCATCATCCCTCAATTGCTCCTTCACCTCTCACTCTCTTAGGCTTGCGACAGACGAGGAGCGCCGACCACCTTAGACGGACGACAGATGAGGAGCACCGACCACCTTATGCGGACGACAGACGAGGAGCGTCGACCACTATCTAGGGCTGCGACCACACCATGCCTCGGTGCCTTCAGTCTGCTCCCTTGTCTCAGACGCTCAGTCGCTCACCACGCCACAATTCTTCAATCGCCTAATAAGTTTATCTTTTTTTAACTTATAGAGATTGATTTTCTTAACTTGTTTGGATTATTATTTATTAATCTTCTTGGTTATTATGTAATGTGATATATTGTGATTGATTGCTGATTTTAATTATTATAAGTATTAGGGTCATTACTCTATTACGCCTACTAACTTATGATGAAATTCAACAAATTAGGTTGTCATTTCTGTTTTCTCTAGCTAATTGCACTACAAAAAAATTCGCCTGTAGTCACGGACCGTAGTCACGGGTTTGGTCCGTGACTAGTTAGTCACGGTTCTAATCACGGTTTAGTCACGGAACCGTTAAAAAAAAGTAGTCACGGATTTGTCCGTGACTACGTCCGTGACTATAGGTAGTGACGTACCTAGTCCGTGACTAAAGGGTTTCCACCAACCCATTTTCGCCTCCGGCGGGATTTTTTTTAAATTTGAAATTAGTCACGGACAAGTCCGTGACTAGTACCGTGACTACAGTTAGTCACGGACACGTCCGTGACTACAATTCCGTGACAAGTGAAAAATTGATTTTTTCAACGTTCCAAATTAAAAGTGCACCGACAATTCGTACAAAAACAATGTAGTCACGGACACATCCGTGACTAAGTCCGTGACTACAAAATTTATATATGCAGCCTCCGCTTCATTCAACAAAATCACACCATCTACTCCAGATAGAATTCCAGATAGAATTGAAGGATGTAATCTACCCATCTCATATCATTTTTCCTGTTTATGCAGATAAGGTATGTAATTTGAATTACGTATTTTTTGTAAATTAGTTAAATATGTAAATTTGTTAATAAATACATATGTAAGTATATTATTAAATATAATATTGGCAATACATATGTTATTAATTTTAAAATATAGGGTTAAAATTACGTAAATTAGTTAAATACGTATGTAAGTATATATGATTAAATATAATTTAAATGCATATTATTAATATTAGTTAAATGTAAGTATTATTTAATTCAAATGACTTTATATATATATATATATATATGATTAAATATAAGTATATGATTTCTTTATATTGGCAATTATTGTTAATTAAGGCGGCCTAATTTAGGAATAATAATGATTTAAATTAGGGTTAGTTAATTTAATTTAAATGTGTTTATTATATATAAATGCTCAAATTATTGGATTTGCTCATACTATTTAATTTAGTAAATTGTTAAATGTGCATTATTAATAAGATTAAGATGTTGATAATTTTAGTATTGTGGATTAAATTAATGTCATTAACGTATTGTGCATGTTTATAGTTTAATAATATCAATTATTGGACGTTAGTTAATTTTAATGGAATTTTAGTGAATTTTAGTGAATTTTAGTGAAATTTTAGGCAATTAGTTAATTTTAAGAGAATTAGTTAATTTTAAGGGAACTTTAGGGAATTAGTTAATTTTAAGTGAATTTTAGTGAATTTTAGTGAAATTTAAGGAAACTAGTTAATTTTAAGGGAATTTTAGGGAATTAGTTAATTTTAAGGGGAATTTTAGGGGATTAGTTAATTTTAAGGGAATTTTAGTGAAATTTAGTGAAATTTAAGGAAATTGGTTAGTTTTAAGGGAATTAGTTAATTTTAAGGGAATTTTAGGGAATTAGTTAATTTTAAGGAAATTTTAGTGAAATTTAGTGAAATTTAAGGGAATTAGTTAATTTTAGGGAATTAGTTAATTTTAAGGGAATTTTAGTGAATTTTAGTGAAATTTAAGGAAACTAGTTAATTTTAAGGGAATTAGTTAATTTTAAGGGAATTTTAGGGAATTAGTTATTTTTAAGGGAATTTTAGTGAAATTTAGTGAAATTTAAGGAAATTAGTTAATTTTAAGGGAATTAGTTAATTTTAAGGGAATTTTAGTGAAATTTAGTGAAATTTAAGGGAATTAGTTAATTTTAGGGAATTAGTTAATTTTAAGGGAATTTTAGTGAATTTTAGTGAAATTTAAGGAAACTAGTTAATTTGAAGGGAATTAGTTAATTTTAAGGGAATTTTAGGGAATTAGTTAATTTTAAGGAAATTTAGTGAATTTTAGTGAAATTTAAGTAAACTAGTTAATTTTACGGGAATTAGTTAATTTTAAGGGAATTTTAGGGAATTAGTTAATTTTAAGGGAATTTTAGTGAATTTTAGTGAAATTTTAGGAAACTAGTTAATTTTAAGGGAATTTTAGGGAATTAGTTAATTTTAAGGAAATTTTAGTGAAATTTAAGTAAACTAGTTAATTTTACGGGAATTAGTTAATTTTAAGGGAATTTCAGGGAATTAGTTAATTTTAAGGGAATTTTAGTGAAATTTAGTGAAATTTAAGAAAATTAGTTAATTTTAAGGGAATTAGTTAATTTTAAGGAAATTTTAGGGAATTAGTTGATTTTAATATATTAATAATACTCCACATATAATATGTTGGTAATGTTTATAATTTAGAGTTTTTAACCTGTATAATTTTTTTATTATAATATTCAGGCATAATGTATAGACAAAATAGAATTTGGATGTATGATAAACATGCGGTATTGTACGGAATGCAATCAATTTTTCTTGAAGGAGTTGAGGAGTTTATTAAATTCGCACTTGAACACCCAACTTATATGAGTGGTGATAAAATCAGATGTCCATGTGCAAAGTGTAAAAATCTCAAATTTAAACACCCAGACGAAGTTGGGTGGGATTTGTACGCGGACGGTTTATTTCCCAATTATTACAATTGGACTTCTCATGGCGAACCTTTGGATCCATCTGTTTTACCACAAACGGTAGGTTCGTCTCGTAACGTCCCTGCAGAGATGAGTGCGTGGGGAGACCCTGCTGAAATGAGATGGGAGCAACGTATGGTATATGACGCATACGGTGCATCGATGTCTCAGTTCAACCCCCCACAACCATCTAACGATCCTCCTGAAGCTTCGACCTCGTATCAACCACATGAGGATGAAAATCCGATATTTTATGAACCTTATGTGGATGAAGGTTTAGCTGAAAGATTT